GATGGGAGTTATGGGTTAGCAGTATCCCTTTTAAAATGCACTTTATAAAAGTGCTGATTTCTATGGGAATTCTGCACTTTTATAATTAAATAATAAAACTTCCCTCGCCCCTCCCCCCTGTCAAGCAGCCAGGAAGGTTTGCTTCCTGCTTACATTCACTCCCTTGAGCTAATGGAAGTGACAGGTGCGCTTTACTTGAGCCTGCCTGCCCCCCATGCATTTTACTTACAGGCCTCAGACCAGAGATCTTTCTGAATGCTGTGCAGTGCGCATGCATGGAGGGAACTTAGTCTTCTCAAAGCATGCAGCCATAAGAACTGCAGCTTTTTGGAGCCATTTTAAGATGGTTGAATGCATGAAAAATGTGTTCATTGTACTAGTCTTTTTTCTTATTGCTGTTTTGCTGTGTGGAATAATATTTAAGGTCTATATGCCACAAGTTACAGTGGTTTCACAATTCAAATTATGTACATAAAGATTTAAGCCTGTTTTAGACTAAATTTTTTTTTTTTTTTTTTTATGTCAACAGAGGCTTTAGTATGTACTAACTTTTCCTCTTTTTGACGCATGTTTTTAAACAGCTTCAAACAGGTCTTGAAGTGAACAGAATTTTCTTGTCTTCTGTGTCTGCTCAAAAGGTCCCTGCTTATAAGATTAAGAAAAAGAAGCAAGTAAAGGTAATTACTGCGTTAATACATTGACCTGGTATTTTCCTTGATTTAAAGTACCACCAAAATGTTTAAAATTGTGTTTCCACAACTGTTATCTCTCCCCAGGTAGCAATGTACTGAAGCTCAGTATTTTATCCCTTAAGCGGCAAACACAGATTAAAACTTTGCGATTTATAACTTATTATTACAGTGATTAGCGTATGCTTTTTTAAAAATTGATTTCTGTAAAATTAAGTCTATATGATTTATGTTTACAAGTGTTATGAAGGGAGAAGCTATTAATGGGGGGGGGGGGAGAAATCGAGGGTAACCTTGCAGAAATGTACACATAGCTTTGTGAGAGCTTTCCAGAGGTGTGTGTGTGTGTGTATATATATGTATGTATATATATAGATATAGAGAGAGAGAGAGAGAGAGAGAGAGAGAGATATAGATATCTAGATATAAAAAAAAAAAAATTTTTTTTTTTTTTTTTTTAAATCTACTTCTCCATAGGAATAAAGTAGATATCCCAAGCTACTCATCCTGACCTACAAAATAATTTTCATTATAAATACTGGGGCCCCTACCTAGAGCGACTGTCCCTCTGTTCCTACTTATACTGTGCTGACAGTGTGTAGGGTGTCTGGTGTGCGTGCGTACTGGCTGTGTGTGGTGTGCGGTGGCTTTGTGTAATGTTTTAAGGGTTTCTTGGCTATGTGTAATGAGGGGGGATATAGGCTGTGCATGAAGGTGCTCTGTTTTGCCTTTTTCACTTGCCTTTCTTGTAAGGAGAGGGCGCTATGAACTGTTATGGCCTAGTAAGGGTTTAAATTCCAGCATGAGGGCTTTGTTGTTGTTGGTTTTTCTGTAATTACTGTGGTTTGCACGTGCCAGAGCTGGAAACCATATGCTCCCTGGCTCGGCCCTGTACCCCTGTATCAACACTGCTGCTTGCCCATGGTAGGGCTAACGGGGGGTCTTCTTGCCCAGATCTGACTTTCACCAGATGTCCGGCAATAGGAGTCCACCTTCCCTGACTATCTTTTTGCTTTGGAATGCATCTTAAATAACCAATTTCTGTGTCTCTGTATGTCTGCAAATAGACTAAATGTCAGTCTCTCATATCTCCCACACTTTATATGAATATTTGTAGGCATAATTATGGTTTCATTTTGTAGCCATTGAAGTAGTTAGGTGGGAGGCAGGGATCTGAGCAAATTAAGCATACTCCATGGGTTCATTTTCCCCTGCAATTCACTGTATTATACTTAGAGGATTGATAACTATATTCAGGGCCGGCCTTAGGCAATTAGGCGCCCTGTGCAAAAAGTCTTCACGGCGCCCCCCCCACCTCCCACCAAGTTGCCTGAATACAGTAACACACACAGGCACCGGGGACGTGTGTATCACGAGGCAAACAAGGCATCTGCCTTGGGCGCCACTTTGCAGGGGGCGGCAAAAAAAAGCATCCCTCCAAACCCCCAGGCAGATCCCTTGCTTGCCTCGCATCCTGGGGGGCTCAAGAGCTGACCGGCTGGCCACTTTTGAGCCCCCCCAAGGCTGGCAGCGGGCAGCGAAGGAGCATACTCACCTGAGCTCTTCCTGCTCAGCTTCCTCTGCGCCGCTTAATGAAGCCGGGAGCCAGAATATGACGTCAGTCCGGCTCCCGGCATCACTAAGCGCTGCTTACTCAGCCTGTGCGCCCCCTGCCTGCCTGCCCAGCAGCCACACTGGACTGCTGGTAAGAAATCCACTCCAGCTTTCCCAGGGAGGCTGGGTGGATTTAAAATAAATGTAAAAAATATTAGTTTGTGAGTGTTAGTGGAAATGTCTGTGTGTGTGTCTGTGAGTGTTTATTTTGAAGTGAATGTGTGTGTGTGTGTGTGTGTGTCTGTAAGTGTGTAATTGTGTGTGTCTGTAAGTGTGAATGTGTGTGTGTCTGTGAGTGAATGTGTGTGTTGGTCAGTGAGTGTGATGTGTCAGTGTGTGTGTTGTGTCAGTGTGTATGTGTCAGTCAGTGAGTGTGTATGTGTCAGTCAGTGAGTGTGTATGTGTGTCATGTGTCGTCAGTGAGTGTGTAAGTCAGTGAGTGTGTAGTCAGTGAGTGTGAGTCAGTGAGTGTGTGTCGGTCAGTGAGTGTGTGTCGGTCAGTGAGTGTGTGTCAGTCAGTGTGTATGTGTCGGTCAGTGGAGTCGTGCATCTTTCAGTGAGTGCTTGCGTCTGTCAGTGAGAGTGTGCATCTGTCAGTGTGTGTCCAAGTAATAGTGTATGTGTGTATGTCATTGTTTGTCAGTGTATATGAGAGTGTGTGTCTGTCAGTGAGTGTGCGTCTGTCAGTGAGTGAGCGTCTGTCAGTCAAAGTGCGGCCTTGACAGGAAGGGGTGGGGGAAATTTAAACTCGGTTACAGGCATGTACACACACACTCAGTTAAAGGCAGTCACACATACAGGCACAGGCACAAACAATGGCACAGCTACAGCGACACACACAGACAGACAGTCACATAGGCAGTCACACACACAGACAGACACACAGTAACACACACATAGACAGTTATACACACACAGGCAGGCAGTCACACAGATAGAAAGTCACACACACAGGCAGGCAGTCACACACAGACAGATAGTTACAGACAGACACACACAGGCAGGCAGGCAGTCACATACAGGCAGTCACACATACAGGCAGTCACACACACAGGCAGTCACACACACAGACAGACAGTCACACACACAGACAGTCACACAGACAGACAGTCTCACACACACAGGCAGTCACACACACGGGCAGTCACACAGACAGACAGTCACACAGACAGACAGTCACACACACAGGCAGTCACATACATGGGCAGTCACACAGACAGACAGTCACACACACAGACAGTCACACACAGGCAGGCAGTCACACACAGAGACAGTCACACACAGAGACAGTCACACACACACACAGAGACAGACACACACACACACACAAGGACAGGCAGTCACACAGACAGTCACACACACACACAGACAGTCACACGCACACAGGCAGGCAGTCACACAGACAGACAGTCACACACACACACAGACAGACAGTCACACAAACAGGCAAACAGTCACACACACACACTTACCTCTTTCCAGTGGATGCAGTTGGCTGATGGGGAAGCATCTTTCCCTCTTCCTGTACAGCAGGGGCTTCGGGAGGTATTAGCCCCGTCTCCGCCTCTCGATAAGCCCCGCCTCCGCCGCTCGGTAAACCCCGCCCCCTCTGCCGCGATTTTTTTTTTTTTTTAATAGACCCGGGTGGAGAATAATTAATCCTCCAGCCAGGTACCTCTTTTAGCTCCCCTGCACTCCGGCCATGAGTGAGCTGTGTCGGCCACAGGGCGCCCCCTGTTCCATGGCGCCCTGTGCGGTCGCACAGCTCGCACACCCCTAAGGCCGGCCCTGACTATATTTGCTGTATGCCAGCAACTCTGTCAAACCCCCTGTTTAGGATTATAGAACCTGTATGTGCCTCTCTCAAGACACCTTTAATTTAATGTGCTATACCCTTCGGGGTGTTTTCTGTTGTCTGCAACGATATACGAAATTTTTTAGTTATGCTTTTTATTGTATCACATTTTTACATCAAATTGCTAACGTGTTCTTAACCATACCAGGAAAGGTGTATTTTATCTTGAGTATATGAAAGTTTTTGCATCCCTCAACAGCAACGTATACATGAAACGGATATTTTACCCTACTTTTAGGAGTTTCAAAAATTGTTATACTAATTTGGTAGTGTAGGGGGTTGAAGAAACATTTCGAGCACCATAATGAATGTTATATTGCCAGGAGTGCCCTGGCTCAATACGTTGTAAGTTGTCAAACCATTTTAGAATGGCTTGGCTACTTACCTTGGGTCCACCAGGTGCCACTCCTTGCCACCAGTAGATCTACAGGGGGATGGGAAACGCTCTGTCTGAGCTAAGCCAAGCAGTGCACAGCTTTGCTCTTTGGCTGAGAGCAATCAGCTACCCCTGAAAAGCAGGGCTTAGGTCTGGTAAGCTAACGGAAGCTCTTAAACAGGAGTTTCTGGCTTTCCTCTAGCTGTGGTGCTGGTGGTGGTGAGCATTCCCCAGCGTACCCCAGGTAAGAAGTCATACCTTTCATGGAAAGGTTTGAATAATTATAATGGGGGGTTGCCAGGGGCACTCCTGGCACCATAACAGTGTGTTGTAGTGGTCATGGTTCTTGGAGTGTTTCTGTAATATCCATACAGCAATGTACACAATCTTTTACACTTCTGTGTTTGAGATGGGTTGTGCATGGTACTGAAACAGAAAAATATAATAAAGGTGAAGTGCAATACATCCATGAGATGTTAAAAGAAAACTATATGGTTAAAACATCCTCCTATCTTGCATTATAAAGATAATTTAAAAAATGAAATGAGAAAAAAAAAAAAGTAGCCTCTAAATTTTCTACTATTTAGTGGTTCTACATGCAGCTGCAGACCCCTCCTACACCAGGAAGATACCAATGCAGCTGCATTGGTTTATGGGAAAAGGGAGTATTATTCTCGAGAGCAGTTCCACTCATCACATCAATATCAGTGGAAATGGTTTGTTTGCACATAGCCTAGTTCACTAAATGGTTTTGTATGTTCAGTTTTTGGCAATTTATGGATTGAGCTGCAAGTAGATGTACACCCCAGTAACAAATGTGATATTTCTAGGAACTGGTAGTATTTTAGCAAAAACACTGTGCACACACACCGGGCACTTGCACTGTAACCACTTCAGCAAGAATGAAGTTATGGTGCTTAAAGCATGCCTTTATAAAAACAGATGCCCAGTATTGTATTGGTTATTTATAATATTCATATAAAGTATAGATTTACTTCTGTGTTGATCATAATTTTTATATTTTTGTTTTCTTCTATTAAAGAAATCTCCTGTAAGTAAGGCTCCTATTAAACACGTTTTACCAAAAAATAAAGAGCTCCCATTTGTCGCCGGTAAGGTTAGTGATTTTGTGTGTGTGTGTGTGTCCAATATTTTGTTTAATTAGGTAATACATGTCTTCTTTGTGTGTTGTGGTTTATTTTATTTTTTTTTATTAATTTTTTGTGACTAATTTTTTTTAAACTCATACCTTTTTTTTTTATTTTTTCATTTTTAAGTCTACAACGTCTAGTCACTCTCTCAGTGCAAATGTGCAAACAGTCTTGCATATGGTAAAACTTCACAGCTCGAGGGTCAGCCAGCCACAAAAGAAAGATGTCGAACGCAAGCCTTTCAGGGGTCTGCCTGCTAGTCGACCTACACCCAGTTCCTCTGTATCCTTCACTGGTGACAGTCTTACGGATGTTTTGCTGGCTTTGCAAGATGAACTGGGGCAAATGAGTCTGTGAGTGATGTCATTGGTAGAAAATAACTTTTAATCGCTTAAGAATAATTATAGCCAATTCAATAATAACAATCTGAATTTCAAGGATCTTATTCCAAAAAAATCCAACCCCAGTACTTCATGAGCCCTTGGAGAAGACCACATACCAAGTAGGATCCTATATTTATTGATCAAAGCCCAACACAAGCTTGCTGTCCACAAAATAAACCATTTAAAAAAATCCTAAAACCTTGTTCTACTCTACCAAACACTCTGATATAGTGGCATCCTTCAAAATTAAATATTCTAAACACTGCATTAGACAGATGCTCCTAGTAATCTATGCTAAAAATAGAAGTTACTGAATGAAATTAAGCACATTTGTCACTTTTTTCCCTTCCTTTTTTAAGAGAACATCAGGAGCTATTGAAATTAATAAATGAAACCGAGGACAATGGTGTGCGTGAAGATCTGGAGCGTGAGATGGATTATCTTGTTAAGCAGATGGAAACAAAGAGTGAACAAATACTTAAGTTAAAACGCCATCAAGAAAATGTAAGCAAAATACCAATAACTGCTGACAAAGCATTATGTGGGAAAACAGATAATTGCTTGGCAGGTCAAATAGCAATGGAATCATTAGAGCGTTAGCAGGCCCCATTTACTAAAACACTAAAGGGAAACTCCACATTATTAACTATGCAAAATCATTGGAAACCAGTTGGATATGCCTAGAAAAGCTGAAGTTAGCTTTTTTTTTTTTTTTTCGCTATCATTATGCTTAATTTTCTGTCCTCCAACTGATGCCAGTTATGGTGGCACCTGCATGTGTACACTGCTTCTTCCACTCTATTATGGCTCAGGGATTGACTGGGAGCAGCAAGTCGCATTCTGATTTTATCTGTCATCACGTGTGTAAAGCAGGCATTCATATGTTTATAATTTTCCTTTCCACCTAATAATTCACTTCATAAAATCTGGCTGCATTATTATATTTGGTTTTCAAAATGTGTCCATGTTTAAAGTTATCGCTCGGGTAAGCAAAGGACTACTTAATCTTATTGCCCTTCTTTCTAAAGGCAGCTAGGGGCACTCAGATTAACTGATTTCCAGTTCTTAGCCCCCTCCCAATTTAGCAGGATTTCAATATTTAGTATCCCATTCATTAAAGACCAGAAGAAATTGAGTGCTAGTGACATTTCAGTTGTATATTATGCGTATTTAGTGAATAGGAAGAAAGATGGCAATAGTTTTTGGAAGCTTCAATACAAGCGTATTCCAGCATTCCGCAACATTACATTGTCCCTCAGGTAGGAACAATCAGCACAGTGTCCTCTTAGACACCATAGGTGGAACTAACTTAGGAAGACAAAAGAAGAGAAGAAAAAGAAAACAATATGGGAAAAGTATTGTCTAAAAGCATTTTGATGAATATATGGACTCGTGAGGGTGTACAAGGAACATGGAGAGAGTGTGTGGGCAGTGGAATGGTGACTTGGTGAGGATGTGTAGGGATACATGGAGTAACTATTACACATCATCAATTTTTATATGTTATTGTATTCCCAGACAGTCAACCCAAGGTAAATGTATTGTAAAGTTTTTTTGTAAATTATGTTTAACTTTTGATTTTAGGTAAAAAAGAAAAAATCCACTCAGCCAGTGAAAAAACTCCCTACGAGTGCCAGGCCTGCCCAAACTATAAAGTGCGTGAGCACAGAGGCGCCTGCCACCCCAAGAACAAAGCAAGGGAGTCTGGTTAGGAGCTCCCCGATTCCAAAAAACAAAACTTCACTTCAACTGCTGAAAAGTGCACAGAAGATTCAAATGACTTTAAAGAAAGATGACATAATGTGGGAGAAATAGTACTGACTTTCTTCCATGTGTTTAGTGTGTATATTTTCATAAACCTTTTCATTGTTAATACAGGAATGACATTTTGATTGTAACTTGTTTTTTAATATTTAAAATAAAAAATTTTATATAGTGTGTTTACAAACCTTCCCCAAAAATAAACTTTTAAACTGGATCTTTGAGGGACCTTCACTTAGTCTTCTGGGGCATGCATTAAATGTAATGCCTCTTAAAACATTTACATTTTTTTTGATGGTCTGTTGCATGTACATGTATTAAGACTTGCATGTTTTGACATTTAACCTATTATACCAATATTGTATTGTGGGGGCGGGGAGGGGAACTGCATGTAATTTTGTTATTGATTAAAGTGGCACTGTCAACTCCCCCTTTCCCCATCCCAAATTAGCATTTTAAAATTTCTTTATGAAATACTTACATTGACTGTGTTTGAATTTCACTGAAAGTCAAAAGCTATACTGAGATAAAGTAGCAACAACTTCCTCCATCGCCCTTCGTGTTGTACTCTGCATGTGTGATTGTACAATGGGAACATTGGCTCCTGGCAGCTGAAGTGCCAGGAGCTGAATAGGACCAGCAGAAAGATGGTGGCAGTGGATATATTCAGATAAGAATATCTTCCCCTGCAGAGCTGTCATAATTTGCAAATACCCTTCAGTGACAGAGCCACTTTACACTCTAGTTATGCTACTCACATTTTCTTGAGAAATACATTTACTCACATATTAACAAAGCCAGTGTTGCTCCAAACTCTGTAACAGTTCAAATTTTGTGCAGCAGATAATTCACTAAAACCCCACTGCACTTTGAGCGTAGAAATATTGGTGACTTTCTGTTAGGGGCTCTCTACTTGATATTGTGTGGCCCCTTTTTTGACCTGTTGGGAGGGGGATGCTGCACATACAGTATAATCTAGTACCACTTAATGTTTTAAAAGTGAATGCTTGTGCTGCTACTACCTCTCCTAGAATTTTAGAACTGATCTCTATTATACTGGAGTCTTCAAAGTAAGGTGGAACACTTATCTAAAGCTGCCAGTGACCGCTGTAACAAACAGCCAATTCATACTATACACTGATCAGCCACAACATTAAAACCAGTGACAAGTGAAGTGAATAACGTATTTTTACATTGGCACCTTCAAGGGGTAGGATATATTAGGCAGCAAGTTAATAGTCAGTTTTTGAATTTCATGTGTTGGAAACCGTAAATATGGGCAATCGAAAAGATTCAGGTAACTTTGAAAAAGGTCACATAGTGATGGCTAGTCAGCTGGGTTAGGGCATTTCCAAAACGGCAAGTCTTGTGGGGGGGGTTCACGGTATGCAATGATTAGTACCTACCAAAAGTGGAGTTGTCTGGTACAATTACACCAAAAATTTAAAATTATGAAATCTTCCAAACCATACATTAAGTGGCCAGCCCCCAGATCTACATATCCATTAGTGGGGATTGCACCACTGCATGCTGTTAAACTCAGAGATGGCCTTATAGCTCTCTTAAATGTGAGTGAAATATTATTGTATGTCCTGCACCTAGTTACATACTATCTGCACCATCATTGGTTATTTTCTGCTTTTATTTCATTTACTCCCACCATTTGAAGTCTGGATAGTTACAAATTGAGAACAGACTCCAGCAATTGTGGACTAATTGGACTTTATATTGGCGCAACCTATATTTTGGATGTATTTCAATCAAACAGAAGAGCTTTGGTAGCTCAAATTGCTCAAAAACTTAAAGGGACACTATAGTCAACAAAACAACTTTAGCTTAAGTTTATATTTTTGTGTGTATAGATCTCACTGCTCAATTCTCTGCCATTTAGGAGTTAAATTGCGTTTGTTTCTGCTCAAGCGGTTGTAGCTGCACCTCCCATGGCTATGACTCACACAGCCTGCTTTGAAAAATAAAAAAAAATGGTTTAATTTTCAATCAGATGTTAGAGGGACACTATAGTCACGCTTAATATAGTGATTCTGGTGACTAGAGCCTACCCATGCAAGCTTTTCAATGACAGTATTTATACTGCTGTCTATTAACTCCTCTAGGTGCTGTTACTCAGATGGCCACTAGAGGTGCTACTTAGTCCAGTGCAGCACAGTGTGTAGCACTTCCATTCAGTGTCTGCATGGAGATGCATTGATTCAAAGCATTCTTTATAAGGAAATGCTGATTGGTCCATGTGCATTTGCTTCCTATGGGAAAGCATTGGACTGGCTGAGATAATCAAGATTTATGATATCAACCATGAAGGTGGAGCCAGGTGGGGCGTAGAAAAAAAAGTGCGTAAACAAATCATTCCCATGCGATTGGGCGGCTGGGGACCTAAATCATTAAACACTGTGTCAGGAATACATGTTTGTGTTCCTGACACTATTGTTCCTTTAAAGGATCTGCTGCTAATGTCTTGGTGCCAGATACCACATGACACGTTCAGAGGTGTAATCCATGTCTCAACGCATCAGAGATGTTTTGGCAGCATGAGGGGGGACCTACACGATATTAGGCAGGTGATTTTCATGTTGTGGCTGATCATTGTATGACCAGTAATAAACAGAAAACAAAAGTGAAAAGAAAAGCTGTTTAATCTCATAAAAGTATAGTGACAATGCTTCACTTTACTCTCTGACTTTGCTGTCCTGCTTTCATCCATAGCTATATTAGTACATATTCATTCACACATTGCACTAACAATTCCTGCTTAGTCCATGAATGAGAAGAAATGACAGGCGCCTGGGGTATACATACACACCTCTACACAGATTATGCACTTAAAGCACCAGGGGGTAATTCATTGCTTTTGGCCTCCTGACTCCAATCAATGTTGAACTGACTGACAATTTATGAGGATTGCTGGGTGAATGTAAAATGGGGAAAATTGGATATTTGACACAAAGGGGAGTTTGGTGCATGGAAATTGGGGACAAAACGGGGCTGGCGATATAAGTAGGGGAGGATATTCTGGAAATGAGATAGAATGATGAGGACAGCGTGACTGTAAAGGGCAAATTAAATCAATAACTAAGGAGAGAGACATCAAATGAAGGGGAAGGTGAAGTGATGGAGAGGCTTAGACTATAGAAGATGAAGTGACATGAATTAATGAGCGGTTATCCGAGGCTATTCATTGAACACTTTTCTTCCTGGCTACCCCACTTTCTCTCCTCTAGCACTACTTCCCTCATACTTGAGGACTTTAACACCCCAATCAAGAACCTCAACTGCCCTGATGCCTCCCATCTGCTCTTTGTAACCTCCTTTGGCCTCACATAGTGGCCTACTTCAGCAACTCATACAGCAGGAAACACTATTGACCTCATCTTCACCAATCTCTGTACTACCTCTAATCGCTCCAATTTTCCATTTGTTCCATCTTTCTGCTGCCTTTGACACTGTTGATCATCAACAGTTTCTTCTCATTCTCTGTAATCTTGGCCTACGAGATACTGTTCTCTCCTGGTGCTCCTCCTACCTCTCCCAGCGCCTTTACCTCGTAGGCTTGCTGCCTAGGTGTTCTCTTTAACTCAAACCTCTCCTTCACCCCTCATGTCCAGCCGGTCGCCAAATCCTACTGCTTCCATCTCAAAAACATAGCTTGCATCTGCCCATATTTAACATCAGGCACAGCTAAGGTGCTGGTCCATGTCGTTCTTTCTCGCCTTGACTACTGCAATCCCCTTCTCTGTGGTCTTATGTGTTCTCCATAATCTATAATGAATGCGGCGGCGAGGCTCATTTTCCTGTCCGCTCGCAGCTCCCAAGCCTCCCCCCTCTGTCAGTCCCTACATTGGCTTCCAGTTAGATATAGAGCTCAATTTAAGATTCTGGTGCTTGCTTACAAGTCCCTACATAAATCTGCTCCAACCTACCTATCCTCCCTAATACACAAGTATGTCCCATTGAGGCCCCTGCACTTTGCTGAAGACCTAAGTCTATCCTCTGTCTGTACTCCCACATCTGATGCTCGCCTCCAAGACTTGTCCAGGGCTGCACCTTTTCTGTGGAACTCCCTTCCCTTCTCCGTTAGACTTTCAACCAGTCTCCACTCCTTCAAAAAATCATGGAAAACACACTTCTTTGGGAAAACCTATCATTTAAACTGTTAGCGGGCTTTCATTCCACCTCACCCCCCATGACTCCTCTCCTGCAACTGACAAAAATAACCAAAGTTCTCAGTGAATACTTTTCTAGCAACCTATTTCATTACCCCTATTTATACCTTCTGTGTCACTATGCCCCACTTCCTCTAGCATGTAAGCTCACTGAACAGAGCCCTCAACCCCTCTGTTCCTGTGCATCCATTTGTCTGGTTACAATTATGTGTCTGTTAGTCCACCCATTGTACAGCGCTATAAAAATCATAAAAAAATAAGAAGAATAAGCGGGGACATGGAACGAGAGGAAAAATTATGTGCATTGTATGGTTTATATAACTTATCAAAGAGTTCCACCTTAACATGTAGGAGAGTTATTCACATGTTTTTGCTATCCACTGTCCATCCCAAGTTAATTCTCTGGATCTGATGAAAATGGCACCATACTAAGGTCTAATATACATCATGTGAGCTATCCTGGGAGTCTGCTTTTGCAGTTGTTATGCATTTATAAAGAAATGTAAATTTTTAAGATAAGATTCCACAAAATGTAACAAACGTATTATTTGCCACTCATGATTCTCCTTGAGCCGAGAGAGAGATTGAGATTTCAGCCTAAAGTCCTATAGACACGCGCCCTCTGCTGGACTTTACGAGCGGTTGCAGCCTGTGTAACCTGGCGACAGGCTTTGGAAGGTTGTGTGTATTTTGGTTGCTATGGCGACCTTCAAGTGCTTCTCAGCACACTATCAGCCCTGGGGTTCGAAACAGACAGATTTCAATCTCCAACAATCTATTTAGAATAAACTACATTCTATGCAGTATATGAGTGCTCTGACAAAATCAAGATACTAACTGGGGAAATATCTTCATGACACAGGAGACAACCCCATCAGATCTGAGCAAGGTAAAGTTTGTGTGTTGTATAAATACAATATTCTGACTGCCACTGTTTTTACAATATTTACATAATTAGTTTAGCTCAAGGCTAGTCACGTGCTTAATTTAGTAATTTTTCCTGCATTATGCTCATCCCTTATTCTCAAAGATTTATTACAATTTATTGGAATAATCTGTGTAGTCTGATTCAGAATGATTATTAAATGTACATGGCTATTTATTTACATAGTATTGCAAAAGTAGAACAGAACCAGTTTTAATTGCAACTTCATAATTGATGATATTACACTAATTAATAGAAATGCGGGGGGGCGTGGCTTAAGCTCTGACCGGGATGGACGCGTGATTTGAGAGCTCCGCTCCACCGGCGCCGTAAACAGCCTAATAAACAGCAAACACTAGCGTCTATGGGGCGCCACCGACGCACCGAGACCCCCCAAACCCCGAGGGGTACACAGCTGGGCCAGACACACGGCCCGATGGACGGGTTCCTCCAGACCCAGCCTGATGCGACAGAGGGAACAAGCGGATCCAATATGGCGCCGACGGCATCATCCCCCAGGGAACCACATGGTGCTGCACTGGAAAAGATTGGAGAAGAACTCCGAAATATGGCAACTGCAATGGCCACGAAAGCTGACTTACTAGTCCTGACTACCACCATACAGGACGCTCTGAGAGCTGAGATGGCAGGGCTCCGGACGGAGGTAACTGCGCAAGCGGGCCGCATCCAGGAACTGGAACGCACACAGGGGGCTCATGCTGCGAGACACCAAGCAACAGACACAGCACTCACGCGTCAAGGGGAGCTGTTACTCCACATGAGAAGGTCAGTTGAAGACCTAGATAACAGGGGGTGCAGATGTAACATTAGGGTCCGTGGGGTCCCTGAAGCTGAGGGTAGGGAGGAAAATGCGGCAGACATTTTATCTAACCTATTCCGCATGATATTGGGAGAGGAAGCACCCCAGACTCTCAAATTTGAACGCGCACATAGAGCTCTACGTCCCCGGTCCCAGGAAGAAGGCCCACGGGATTTGATTTGCTGCCTCCACTCTTTTAGAGATAAGGACGCTATCATGAAAGCGGCCCGTTCCCGCCCAACCTGGGATTTTCAAGGGGCCTCAGTGTCTCTATATAGTGACCTCTCGCCCATCACGCTTGAAGCCAGGAGAGCGTTAAAGCCCATAACCACAGCCCTGCAGGAGCGGAATATTCCTTACAGGTGGGGCTTCCCCTTTGCCCTGCTGGCGCGCAACCAGAATGGATGGGTGTCGATCCGCTGGCCTGAGGAGGTCCCACGGTTCCTGGAGGAGATGGACCTGCCTCCGATATCAGTCCAAGATTGGGTTCTAGGCCCACTGGGTGGGAGACCACGCCAACAGAGAGCGCCCCGCAGACGCGGAGATAACCCACCAAGAGGCCCGGCTCCCCGCAGACGCATCAACCCGGAGGCACCAGAGTGACAGGTGAGCCCTCTAGCGGTCCCTCTACCCCCCCCCTGGACACCCCACTGGGGAGGACACCCCAACCTGCACAGGCGCTAGGACAGGAACTGACGCAGTCCCTCATATACACACCGGGCAATAAAAAAAAAAAAGGTATCCCATGACTGTATCCCTATAACTGACTCCATACCCCTCCCAGAGAGTCGGTCTGAGGCTCTATCTATCCTCTTTGTTTTCAAGACATGTTGAAAAAAGGAACTGTCTCTCCCCCTAACGGAGGCGCTGGGGAACACATCTGACCCAGTGAACGACACAGCGGAAACTCATTTGGGAGGTGGGCTGCTATAGGGGATTCTTTGACTGGGGTGGGTCCTGTTTATAACCTCATAAGGCACGTTTTATATCACTGACCCCAGGAGACTTTTTCACTCATATTGGAAATGAACTCAAAGGGACTACACCACTCTCCTGCAGATCTGAGCTGTGGACTCACGGTATGGGATGATATCACCCGGTATACACCGCCTAGGTCTCATTCACCAAATCCATGATAGGTTACGATTGTTTATTGCCATGCCTAACCTCTATATTTCATACTGGTATTATACTCATGTTATACTAGCTGTTGAATGTCGCACCTCCTGAATATGTGCTCCCCCCCACTTTAGCAGACACATAGATAAGTGAGATGACCTGACTTACTATAACGCCCCATGACGTAGGAGACGGCATCCTAACTATTGAATGATAGGGCACACCGCCATTAACAGATAATTGAGGGGACCAGAACGATAGAGGAGGGTTTAGGTGGGGGGCGCAATAATCGACATGCAAGCACAATCAGACTGATGAACGGGGGACTGCTCAGAAGACACGCAACGGCTGCCACACATTGCAGGGGGAAGACAGAGGACGCTAGGAGGGGGGAACGGACGGGGCTTGGTCCAAAAGGTGGGATAAGGTACAAGTCATATGTGTAGGAACCTTCATGTTGTACTCGCATTATGGTATTACTATATCGTTGAATTGTTATTGTATTCATGATCACATGTACCACCCCTGTTGGGTGGCGCCTTGACACTTAGAAACTTCATATGGCACTAGGCTGCGGTGCTGGTGGGGGGGAATCTCATTTGGTATCGTTCTCATTTCTCTCTCTCACACACCGGTCTGGAGCGGAGCCATTGACTCCACCTAAAGGTCGTGCAACTCTTCTGACAGCGGAGCATCTGGTGGACCATATCCCGGTCTGGTTACTGGAGTGGCCCCCGGCAGATCCGGCTGTCGCACGACTAATACCTCCAAACACTGAGGAGGTATTGAGGAGAAATCCTCAACCCACCCTGTCCCCTCACATAGAGTAACCTCTCCACTTGAGGTCCTGATTTTACGACCCTCCCCCCCAAATCAAAAAAAAATTTTTTCTCTTAGTTTTTATTTTTTATTTTTTTTAATTTTATATCATTCACACTTCCCTGGTGTCCGCTCTCCATCCCCGACAGGGACGAGTGCCACACACAGAAACCACACCCTCCAAACACCAGTCATATAAGTCCTTGACTGTCGCGAAAGCGGTAGCGAATTTGCAACCAGTCTGTACAGGGGGGCATAGGAAAGGAGGAGGGGTCGCCCATATACAAGACAACCCTAGCACCGATAACCCTGAGCCCGGTGGGGGGGTACGTAGTCTAGCTCTCCGGCACCGCGCTCCCGTTAACGCCAAAAGACATAAGATAACGGATTGGACCTCAACGTGTCCCTGTAGCTAACTGTAGCGAAGGGAGTGAGTTTCAAACGCAAAGCTCTCCGCGTGCTCTCGGGGCTCTACAGAGATGTCCGCGTCCTACCACGACGCGCCACTACGTGTCCTTACCCTCAACTGCAGGGGACTGAATGTTCCCGAGCGCCGCACACATCTGCTACGCGACTTGAGGAAGACACAAATATCTGTTGCTATGCTTCAGGAGACCCATTTCCTAGAGGGCCTCTCACCTAAATTGCGGAACCGGTACTACCCCAACAATTACTTCAGCAACCACAACACGGCTCGTAAAGCGGGCGTAGCCATCATCCTGTCAGCTGATCTGGACTTCAAGGAATTAGACAAGATATTCGACACGCAGGGGAGGTTCCTTTTCCTGAAAGGCACCATAGCGGACAAACTTTACACTTTCGTGTCAATTTATGCTCCCAACACAAACCAGGCCAGATTCATCAGACGAATTCTGCGTAAACTGAAGGGCTTCGCGGAAGGGGCAATCATCATGGGAGGTGATTTTAACACTCCACTAGACCCCCAGATGGATACGTCAACAAGCCATAGTAGCTTACCAGCCTCAAGCATTCACTCAATTCGCAAATCACTGAGCGAAATGGGATTAGTGGACTGCTGGAGAGCACTCCACCCGGATTCTAGAGACTACACCCACTTTTCAGCATTACATAATCGCTACTCGCGAATTGATTACGTACTGATACAACAGGAAGGATTGTCGTGACTCAGGTCGGCTACCATAGGCCCAGCCACGTGGTCAGATCACGGTTCGACGATAGTGGAACTGGAATCACCTCTATTCAAACCAGCTCGCTGGACCTGGCGACTGAATGAGTCCCTACTTCAAGACCCTGAGGTAATAAACGAAGTCACGCAGGCACTGGAACTATATTTCAAAGAAAATGATGGGGACCAGATCCCGCCAATTACACTCTGGGAGGCACACAAAAGCGTAATACGGGGCATTCTCATTAGAATAGCCTCTCGCAAGAGAAAAGCAATGATGCGGGAATTAACGGAAGTCTATGAAACCATTGCAAAATTGGAACAACAGCACAAACGGATGCAAATTGATACCACACAAACAGAATTGACGAACGCCAGAAGACAACTCAGAGACCTTATCACACGGAAATATCATCGCTCTTTGCAATATTCGAAAAATTTCTTCTACACTCACGCCAACAAGGGCGGCAAGTTTCTGGCAAACCTCCTGAGGGGCGACACCCCCCGCACGAGGGTGCACAAAATACGCCTCCCATCGGGATCCACGTCCTCATTCCCTGAAGACATCGCAAATGAATTCCGCCGATACTATCACACCTTGTATAACCTTCCTACGCCGACGGAATCATCGCAAGGACACACCGTGCCCGCATCAATCCAGGCCTTCCTCCGGGATAATGTAAGCAGACGAGCAAACATAGACGCGACAGATATGTTAGACGAACAAATTAGTGTCGAAGACGTGGCTGCGGCCCTGAAGGCCACGAAGGTGGGCAAGGCACCAGGCCCGGATGGATACTCTGCGGGATATTACAAACATTTCTCCTCGATCCTCTTACCTTGGCTAACTAAGGCATTTAATAACATTACAGAAGGGGGACGATTCGGCACAGAATCACTGGCAGCTACTATAGCAGTCCTGCTCAAACCCGGTAAAGATCCCGAACACTGCAGCAGTTACCGGCCAATTTCCTTAATAAACGTGGACTCAAAACTTCTTACGAAAGTGTTGGCCACCAGAATACAACGAGTACTACCGAGCATAGTCCATGCGGATCAGACGGGGTTTATACCTGGTAGGGAAGCCCGAGACAGCACACTCCGACTCTTCTCCATACAACATCGAGCACGGATTTCACGAGAACGCCTTATACTGCTATCCACGGATGCTGAAAAGGCCTTCGATCGGGTCAACTGGTCTTACATGATGCATACATTGAGAGCCATGGGAATGGGACCGAAGCTGATGTCGTGGATATCGGCATTATACGATAAACCCAGCGCAGCGGTTAAGGTAAATGGAGCACTTACGACCAGCTTTGAGATTCATAACGGGACCAGGCAGGGGTGCCCCCTATCCCCCCTTTTATTCGCAATGTCTCTGGAACCGCTCCTACAGGCAATACGACAGAACCCTGACATCCAGGGCTATTCATGGAAAGGGACGGAACACAAAGTGGCCGCATATGCGGACGATCTCCTCTTTTTCGTCTCTAATCCACGAATCACACTGCCATGCTTGCTCCGGGAATTTGAAAACTTCGGCAAAATCGCAGGATTCAAACTTAATTTATCTAAATGTGAGATCCTTAACGTCACCTTCCCACCAACCGAATTTGCCACACTGAGCGCAGCTTTCCCATTTCGCAGATGTGAGGGGAAGATGAAATATCTCGGCATCTGGGTAACACACAACCCACGCGACCTGTACCAACACAATTTTGCCACCATACTACGACAAGTAACTTCGGACCTAGATCGATGGGCATATCCACACATCACCTGGCACGGCAGGATAGCGGTCCTCAAGATGAACGTGCTACCACGGATATTATACTTATTCCAAACCATCCCAATATCGCTACCTACAACGTTCTTCTCTAGCCTGAAATCGGCGGTCATCCGATATGTTTGGAGAGGGGAAAGATCCCGCCTTCGATATGAAACGCTCTGCCTACCCAGGATCAGAGGAGGCCTTGCACTGCCGGACTTCAAAAAGTACCAACAAGCCACTACTATGCAACGTATCCTGGAGTGGCACGCAGCAGAGGACCCGAAACAGTGGGTAACTCTGGACAGAGAAGACTCGGGGACCAAACTTAAAGCAGACGTATGGAGGGAGGCGAAAGGTCGGTGTGGATCAGAAGAGGACGGCAATCCGGTGGCACAGACTCTGAAGATCTGGAAATCAATTAGGAAGATGGAGCAGGTCTCTCCGACCCCCAGTCCTATGATCTCAATCACACACAACCCCAATATAGGGGGAGGACTCCCCTTTAGGACCTGGGCCTTTTTAGGGGAAAGAGAATATATCCCAATATGCACGATCCTGGAGGAAGGTCGGATAAGGTCCCTCAGCTCACTATTAGCTGGAAGACCGCAGACTCCCCTCCTGACCCTCCATTATCTACAACTATCACATTACTACGAATCCTTACCCCACAAGGACCTCCTACACAGAGACCTTACATGGTTCGAAAGCATATGCCGCAGAGGTTCTAAACTCGAGAACGCGATATCGATGCTCTATCAATATCTACTGATTGGGGCCTCTTCGGATAACAATACATTTCAAAGACGATGGGAAACACAACTAGATATTGCCATTACACCAACGCAATGGGGGACAGCACTCCTCTGGCAGCACAAAAGCTCCTCAAGCTCCTACTATCAGGAGGTCAATTATAAACTGATCTCCATGTGGTATAAAACCCCGGTAGCCATACAGAAAATCTACCCAGAGGCGTCCCCACTCTGCTGGAGATGTCAAGACGCGAGAGGTACCATAGTACATTTATGGTGGGAATGCCATACCATCGCACACTACTGGGACCATATCCACGCCACAATAAAGGAGATCTTGGGGGATGACACGGAATGGTCCCGAGAATTGGCCCTACTACATATTACCACACAAAATATCCCTAGATACAAGAAATCAATTCTACGCCATCTCTTAAATGCTGCCAAATCCTTAATCCCAGTATATTGGAAGAAGGCAACCGTTCCCACGATAGAAGAATGGATCCATAGGGTCAAGGACATCCAGGCGGCCGAGGCGGTGCGGGCATCTCTGGCGGGACGCTCGACAAAGCACGCGGAGACATGGCAACCCTGGTTCTCATACCAGGCGGACAGATAAAGGGTCCATGTGGGGGCGGGG